TACTGTAGGGTGCGCTCCAGGTGCAGCTGGTTCTCAGCTACTGGCTTGCGACAGTACTGCGCCAGTTGGCTGGGAATGTACGAAAGGTCGGGTCGGCAGGTGACAGAGGCGAACAGCAGGCACCCCAGTTGCTGCTGGTACAGTTGAAGTCATGCGGGTGACAGAGGTTTTTTGTCCGGTTTGTAATTGGCGCTGGGAGTCCGGTAGAGAGTTGAGAGTGGTGAGGGCGAGATTTTGAAGCGTTCTCCCAGCTGCTCTGCGTACTTGGAGGCTGAAAGATTGATTGCTTCTGGCGCGTAAGAGATGTTCAGCCCTAGAGAAGTAGTTATCGGCCCTAACTAAGACGCGGAAAACCAGGACAATGATAACAGAGGTCAATGTCGGAGGGACAACGGTGTCGGGTGCGCGGGAGATACTCACAGTGGCCTCAGACTATTTTAAAGGGATTTTCAGGAAGGATAAGAGGCGGTCTTCCGGGGGAAGAGGTTTCATGCGCGGAGAGTGCTGAGGAGGATTATTTTTTACCTTCCGTCAGCATGCATGGGTCTACGTGAAGGCTCGCCTCTCCACGTGGCAAAAAAGGAAGAACACGGTGCGTGCTGGCAAGCTCCAAAAGGAATTACTGGAGGAGCATCGTCTACTGAGTAGGATAAGGAAAACTGATGACAAGAAGTGGACCTGGACAAGATCTTTCGAGTCCATCTGGTCCAATCCTAGGACAGTTTACAACCCGCCGTAGACATCTGTTGGGGCAGTTGGCCCTGCCCTTGCTTGAAGCGGTTACGACCGATATTGTTTGTATGCATCAACTACACCATGTATATTTACAATTCAAAAAAAAAAAAAATGTTCAGCCCTAGAAACTGTGTAACGTTGTGGTTGATGGTGATGTCAACACGCTGCTCCAGGTTTGCCTCGAACTGATTCAGAAGCTTACTGCAAGTGCCAGTGTATAGCAGGTCGTCGACGTAGACTATCAGAAGGATGTAATCGCCGTTGAAATGGAGACGGTACATTCACGGATCGTGTGGCAGCTGCCTGAACCCGATGTCCAGCAGGATCTTGTGCAAGTGCTGCTGCCAGAGACGCGAGGGTCTCCCGTATAGGGACTTCTTCGGTTGGCAGACCCTAGGTTTTCCTTCTCCGTAGGTGTGTGGTTGTTCCACGAAGATGGTTGCATCCACCAGCGCGTATAAAAACGCGTTCTTGACGTCGGTCTGCCGCAGTGGTAGATGCTTGGCGGCTACGATGGCGAGTAGGATCCTGACAGAGGTGTGTCGGCTGACGGGGGTGAAGGTTTGGTCAAAATCGATGCAGTGGCGCTAGTCGTAGCCGCGTACAACCCAGCGTGCTTTGAAGCGTTCAATAGTTTCGTCAGTGGCAGTCTTGAGACGGAAGACCCATTTTCCGCTTAGCACACTCCTCCCCTTCACTGCTGCACGATCGACTAGGACCCATGTGTCGCGTGATTCCAGTGCTTTCAGCTCCGCATCTATAGTTGCTCGCCATTTTGCAGCATATGGTCCTGTCAGGGCCTGTCGCGGGGTCTTAGGTTCGATGGCTCGTGGGGTGGAAGTGACGGTCATGTGCAGGCCGAGGAGCTGGAGGCCGGGGACGTTGCCTGCGGCTTCTTGAGTGGTGACTTCCACAACATCGCCATCGTCGCTCTCGTGAGTAGGCGAAGGGTTGCTTGGGGGGTCGGTGCGCTGAGATGGTCCGGGGCCGGGGGTGTCATCACTGTCATCGTCGTCATCGCGGGGACGAGGAGGTACACCGGGATGTTCGTGGACAGGATCGCGATCCAGCGCTGCTGCAGCTGCTTCGTCTTCCGGGGAGGCAAAGCTGCGTCCGCTGTTGGCGTAGGCTCGCGCGACGTTTCGACGCTGGTCCTCAGTCCACTGCCCCAAGGCGATTCGCTCGTAGAAGAGGATGTCACGCGCAGGTACGACTTTGTTGGTGTCTATGTCAAGAACCAACCACCACTTGTACTTGTAGCTAAGCCCCATATGAACTCCCCAGCGCGCGCGTTGAGTGAACTTGCCGATGGTAGCAGATGTCGGCCGATACTGCACCATGCATCCCCAGACCCGCAACATGGAGGTGTCTCCCCTTGACCCGGACCACTTCATGTGCGGGGAAACGTTGCCCCTGTTGGTAATGGTGGAGAGTAGGTTGTGCAGGCGCACGACGTGGTTCATGGCGTATGGCCAGTATGGCTTGGGTAGGCCAGACTGGTTCATGAGGGCGCGGACCTTGGTCATGAGTGTGCGATTGACCCTTTTCGCGACGCCTTGTTGTTGGTGAGCGTAGGGGAGCGAAATTTGGTGTTTGATCCCCTTTTCCGCGAGGAGGCTTTCCAGTTCGTTGCTCCAGAATTCCTTGGCACCATCTGTCTGCCAGATTTTCAGCTTCCTCCATGAATCCCGTTGTGCGTGAGCAAGCCAGATGCGGAAGATTTCAGGCGCCTTGGAGTGGACGTCCATGTTTGCGATCCAGATGTAGCGTGAGTACGCGTCCACAAAGGTGAGTGTGTGTTTTTCGCCGTTGATTGCTTTGGAGGTAAGCACGATGCAGTCGTTGTAGACTTTCTGCAGCTTCTTGTAGCGGTTGGTGCTTAGTTCCAGCGAGGGATATGCTTGGTGCGTGAGATCAGCAGTGGGGCAGACGGCGCAGGTGGTTGGATGTGTTGTGCTGAGAGGTTCCGTGCCGTCAGGGCGCAACAGTGCCCCTGGCTGGAAGACTCTGGCGCGGAGGCTGTTGTTGAATGTCTGGCGCGAGGGATGACTGAGTCGCTGGTGCCAGAGATCATCGTCTGCGCGAATTTTTGAGGCGCGTATGTATCGTGCGTGATGTTCCGCTGTCTCAGCTTCTGTCTCGTGAGGGATGAGGAGCACTGGTCCTTCTTCTTCTCCGGGCTCTGCTTCATTGTCTTGCTCCTCCTCTTCTGGTTCTGCAGCTGTCTTCCCTTCTGCAGGTGATTTCGTGAGGTAGAGTTCAAGGAAGTTGCGATCGGGGATGATGTTGAGCGGGGTCCTGATATCTTTGATGAAGCGGCGAACGGATCTGGGCAGGAGATTGGCCCAAGCGAGTCACGAGGTGGGGTTTCTGGTACATTCCCCTCCTCAATCTCCGACCAGGGATCCTTCCAGGTGTAAGGTGAGCGGGGGAGGGTGTGAAGAGTGTGGGGGGGGCCGGCCAAGAGGGATTGCAACCCTGGGTGAGGGTTCTTGTGCCGCTATCTCACGTTATGCTTCCTGGAGTTCTTCTTGGGTGAGTTCCCCTTCGGCGAGTCTCTGGTCGCTTGCTTCTCCCCAACCTCGAGTTCCCCAGCCTGATGCAGTGCCTGATGCGCCGGAGGCAGATCCCCATGTTGCCCCCGTATTATCATCATCTCCCCAGCCGCCGCGTCATGCGGACTCCTCGTCCCATCCTACCGCGATGCGTTCCTGATACAGCTTTTCCGTTCTCTCAGCTGCTGCTTTTTCTTCTTCCTCCTTGACACTGGGTTCTTCAAGTTTATTGGGGTCTTTCCACGTCGTGTCAATGTGACAGTAAACCTAGCGGGGATAAGGGCGAGGTCGGTTTTCTTTGTCGAAGGTTCCGGTGTTTGCTTCCAGGATCCAGCGGAGAGTGTCTGAGGCGGGTGTAAGGCGTGCCTTGTCAGAATCCCAGCCACTAACCACTGGGATAAAAGGGCTTGTTTGTGTAGCGGGTGAGTGCGCCCATAACCCCCCAGGCCGCCATGCCTGTAACCCTTCCCTAGGATCAATCGGGGATCACCAGTGGACCTCTGACACCCCCCTGCACTGGGATGCCCGAGGTGCACACACCGGGATTCGAACCCGAGACCTTCGCTCTGATACCATGTCAGAATCCCAGCCACTAACCACTGGGATAAAAGGGCTTGTTTGTGTAGCGGGTGAGTGCGCCCATAACCCCCCAGGCCGCCATGCCTGTAACCCTTCCCTAGGATCAATCGGGGATCACCAGTGGACCTCTGACATGCCTGCTGCTGTATTTCGTCTCCTATGCCAAAGATACGGTGAGTAGTGACAGCGAGCTCCATCTCTATCATGCCTTCGGGTTCTGCCTCAGCGCTTTCTGCCTCTTGGATTGCCGCGAGATCTCTCTCAACTTCTTCAGTGCGGCTTGCCGTGGGTGTGAAGCAGGTCGTGCAGAGTCCGTCGGGGCCGGGTTGGTGCAAATTTACCTCGATATCCACGAGTGTTGCCAGACTTCGATATTTTTGCTGGAGAAATCGAGGGGAACGATATCCACGAGTTCGTCCGACGATGCTTTGCAGTCGGGTATGTCGAAGTCGAGCACGTAGACTCCATTGACTGGTCGTGCTCGTCCGAGGTACTTGTGCGACTCGATGGGTGTGTCAAGAGGGGCGTAGGTGAGGATGAGGTCACGTGTGTAGGGATCTGTGGCGAGCATGACTCCGCATTCAGAGAGTTTTGCGGCGGAGAGCAAGTTGAAGTGTAATTCCGGCATGAAGAGCACGTCGTTGAAGGAGATGTGGGTGTTGCTATCTCGAGCTTGCAGCACTACAATGCCTTGTGCGTTTGCGCGCAACTGCTCGTTGTTGGCGACAGTGACGTAGGTGGCGGGCGCGCGGCTGATGTTTGAGATGTAACGATGGGATCCCACCATGTGTTGACCGCAGCAGCTGTCCACGTACCAGGTATTTTGGTTGTCGTTGTTGTTGTGCAGAAGTAGTACGAGCCGCAGTGTGACGATAGTCGCCTTGTATCGTCGCTCAAATAGTTCATCCTCTCTCCATCTGACGAGAACAAGGCGCTGGTGATCATGGGGTGGGCTTTCTCGCAGTTGTATTGGCTGGTGCCATTCTTGCTCCTCCTCATATTTGTAGTAATAGTGACATTCCGTGAAGGGGTTGTTGCACCCTTCTTCAGGTTGGATGGGTACGCCGCAAGGTTCCTCTGCTTCGTCTGGTGACGTAGCTCGTGGGCGACGCCGTGTCGCCATGTTGGCGATCATTTTCCTGGTGGCTCCTGCTTGAGATGCTTGAATCTGCTAGTGTTGTTGTTGTTGTTGTTGTTGTTGTTGTTGTTGTTGTTGTTGTTGTTGTTGTTGTTGTTGTTGTTGTTGTTGTTGTTGTTGTTGTTGTTGTTGTTGTTGTTGTTGTTGTTGTTGTTGTTGTTGTTCTTGTTGTTGTTGTTGTTGTTGTTGTTGTTGTTGTTGTTGTTGTTGTTGTTGTTGTTGTTGTTGTTGTTGTTGTTGTTGTTGTTGTTGTTGTTGTTGTTGTGCAGGAGGGCAAGTAGCTTGGTGTTGAGGCTGGAAATTGCGAATGTCTTGTCGGCCGTCCCAGTTGTTGTTGTGGTGAGTGGAGTGTGGGTGGCGGTTGTTGGATCAGAAATTACATCGATCTGTTGAATGTCCGAAGATCTTACAAATTTTGCAGTAGTGGCACTGGGTTGTATTTGCTCTTCTCGGTTGTCAGCGTAGAAGGTGATGGGCTCTCGTCGTGGTGCGGAGCTTGTTCTGCTCGAGTCCATGTCGTGTTATCTGTGAGGAGAGCAGCGCATAGGGCAGCTTCCAAAATTATCCCTCGTTGTCGGAGTAGCGCCTTGCAGGGCTTCCACTCAGGCCCAAGTCCTTGGAGCACGATGGTGACGAAGATTTCTTCTTAAATCGCGCTTCCATGCTTCGTAATTAGGTCACGAATGTTCCGACAGTGGTTAATATATGAATTTGCCTTCTTCCCATGCCCCATCTTTGTCTCCATAAGCTGCTGCAGGAGTCTGTTGGAGGTAACTGAGTCCTTCGGCTGATATACCTCGATGAGGTGCTTCCAGGCTTCCAAGGCTGGAGCTGCGCTCTCTTTGTAGGAGCGGATGCCGAGTTGCTCCGCAGGTGACATGATGCGTAGTAGTACGCTGTACACCATGAGGGACTCGCTGTAGTACTGAGCCCAGACGTCTTCGGTGCCTTCCATCGGTTTAGGATAGGAGCCGTCGAAGTAGTGGTAGATCTGCGCTGTCTGTAGGAGGAGCTCTAGCTCAAAACTCCATGTATAGAAGTCCTTGCCGTCAAATGCGGCAGTAGTCTTGATTTTTGAAACGCTAAGAAAGCGTGTTTGCGTAGAGTTGATTGCTTCATTTCTTGGAAGGTGTGCGGGGCGGTATATTGGCTTTTTGCTGCCGGTTGACCAGGTTGTGCTGGTTGGGAAGAGGTTCCCGCATCGCCATTCCGCAAGGCTTGGAGTTCTTTCTCCATAGTTGATAGTCGCGAAAATAACTACTCAAGTGCGGCAATGCTGATCGTCGTCGTCGCCTTATTTGTCGCGGTCAGGTTGGCTTGTCCTTCAGCCGTTGGATTTGCTTAGCCTCCGGATCCTCCGGCCATCTTGGTCTTGGAGCGTGTGCCGCTCGCCCGTTTGAGGTTGGACGAATTTCACGGAAGTGAGGTTGCGAAGAATCCCTGAGTGGCTCTCATACCATGTTACAATCCTAAACAAGACTTAGCCAGGAATCGGCTCAGGATTGTTCGCAGGTTTTGTTGCAGCGGAAGTGTTGACCTCAGATCAGAGTGAATGTAAATGAATGAGATGATAATGACATGCATACATCAAGTTTACATAGGAAATACAGGTAATACGAAAAGACCTAGACTAGCCATGTACTCTAAGGGGTACATTCTCTTATTCCAGCGAAATTCAAACCGTGCGGCGCGGGAGTCAAACTCATATACTATAGTCTGTGTAGGCTGTAGTGGGGTAGCTTACATGGGGTACAACACTTTAGGGTTTGGTACTTGTACTCCTCATGCTGCTCAATGCATCCATTCCTCGTTTCTTCACATGGTATAGAGCAGGTTCCCTAGTGGGAACGCTTCCTAGGGCCCACCACGAAATTTTTTTTTCCCTGCCCGGAGCGCGCTTTGCTCCTGCCCTCTCTCGGCCCCTCACGGCCCCTTCGCGTCGCCCTTAGCGGCCCCTCTCACGGCCCCTCGCGCCGCCCTTACGGCCCCTCGCGCCGCCCTTACGGCCCCTCGCGCCGCCCTTACGGCCCCTTGCGCCTCCCTTACGGCCCCTTACGGCCCCTCGCGCCGCTCGTCGGCCCCTCGCGTCGCCCTTCGCGGCCCCTTACGGCCCCTCGCGCGGCCCCTTACGGCCCCTCGCGCCGCCCTTACGGCCCCTCGTGCGGCCCCTTACGGCCCCTCGCGCCGCCCTTCTCGGCCCCTCGCGGCCCCTTCACGGCCCGTCGCCGCCCTCTGCGGCCGCTCGCCCTTCACGGCCCGTCGCCGCCCTCCGCGGCCCCTCGCGCCGCCCTTCACGGCCCCTCCGCCGCCCTTCGCGGCCTCTCACAGCCCTGTCGCCGCCCTTCGCGGCCCGCCGTCGTCGTCCCTACAGCAGCAGCCGCCGCCGTCCCTGCAGCAGCGGCCGCCGCCGTCCCTGCAGCAGCGGCCGCCGCGGTCCCTGCAGCAGCAGCCGCCGCCGTCCCTGCAGCAGCAGCCGCCGCCGTCCCTGCAGCGGAAGCCGCAGCTGCAGCAGCCGTTACCAGCAGCAGCCGCCGCCACCTCCCTCGGGGCCGCGGCCGCCGCCGCTGCCGCTGACTGCAGCCGCCGGTGCGCCTCGGCCCTACCGACGCGCCTCGGCCCGCCTCTGCTGGTGCGCCTCGGCCCTACCTGCGCGCCTCGGCTCGTCCCTGCCGGTGCGCCTCGGCCCTGCCCCACCACTTGCGGCTCTCTGCCCTGGTAAGAGTGTCGCCGCACTGCGCTGTCACTACTGCCACTGCTGCTACTGCTGCCACTGCTGTCATGGCTACCCCTAGCGTCCTTGTCTTTGATGCTGAGGGAGGGTCGGGCAGTTGACTTTGAGGTCTGGGTAGATGATCTGCAGCTTTTCCTACAGTGCGATAGGGCAGACGGTCTCTCCCTCTTTGACCTCACTTCTGGTGCCTCTCCTTCCCCTGCTGCTGATGCTGACGCCACTGTTCGCTCACAGTGGGCCACGCGCGATGCTGCTGCCTGCCGTTCTGTGCGCCGCCACTTGCCGACGACTGAGCGTGCGCACTTTAGTCAGTACAAGAGTGCTAAGACCTTGTACGACGCTGTAGTTGCACGCTACTCTTCCCCTGCCACTGCTGCGCTTAGCCGCCTTATCCTACCGTACCTCTTCCCTGACCTCGCCGCTTTTCCCACTGTCGCTGACCTCATTACGCACCTTCGCACTAGTGACATTCGCTACCGCGCTGCGCTTCCTGCTGAGTTCTGCGCCAAGAACCCCCCCCCATGTACATCACCCTCTACTACATAGTCACCCGGCTCCCTGACACCCTTCGCTCGGTCAGGGACCACTTTCTCTCTGTTTGCCCCACCACTCTCACCGTTGACCTCCTCGAGGAGCGTCTCCTAGCAGCAGAGAAGAGCATAGTTGCTGTAGGAGCCTCTCGTGGTGACCCTCGTACCCCTGTCTTTGAGGGGTGCTCCCCCTCCCCCCTCTTGCCCTCTGTTGCCTCTGCTGCTGCGGCCGACCTCGTTGGTCTTGAGTCGGTCGGTGCGGCGTCTACCCCTAGCGGGAGACGCCGCTCAGGCAAGGGCAAGGGGGGCAAGGGCGTTGGGGGAGCTGGCGGAGGCGGTGGAGGCGGCAGTGGAGGAGGCGGAGGGAGTGGGGGTGGCGGTGGGAGTGGTGGTGGGAGTGGGGGCACTAGTGGAGGCAGTGGCGGCGGAGGAGGAGGCGGTGGTGGAGGTAGCGGCGGCGGAGGTGGAGCGGGTCGGGGCGGCTCTACGCAGAGGGTCGGCTCCGGTGGTGGTCAGCGCCAGCAGCAGCAGCAGCAGCGTACTCGTGAGACCCCTTCCCCCCAGCAGCTTCGTGAGTGGTACACTGCTCGTCAGCGGGGCGGGGGTGCTGGCCCCTGTACCTACGTTCTCCGTACCGGCGACCGCGCGGGTGAGCAGTGTGGGGGGGCGCACTCCACCCAGCGCTGTTTCGGCCGTCTGACGGACGCTTGGCGTCACCAGTTCCCCGACGCTACTGAGATCCCTCGCTGGGGCGAGCTGTCTAGGGCGGGTGTTGCGATCTTTGATCTTGACTATGATGCTATTCTTGCTGCCATGTATGCTTTGACTATTAGTGATGAGGGTGACTGTTACCGGTGTTTTCCGCCTGACCCGGGCATTGAGGCTGCTGCTCTAGGTGCTTGTGAGGCTGCTGCTCTAGGTGCCAGTGCGTCTGCCGCCCCAGGTGCCGGTGAGTCTGCGCTCTCAGGTACTGCGTCGTCTCCGGACACCCACACCTTCACCCTTGACTCGGGTGCTTCCCGCTCCTTCTTTCGAGACTGCACCACGCTCACGCCGCTTAGTCGGCCAGTGGCGGTCTCCCTGGCAGACCCCTCTGGGGGCCCTGTCCTTGCCCGCTTCTCCACTGTCCTACCGTGTCCGGCGGCCCCTTCTGGCACCCTGTCAGGTCTTTACCTCCCCTCGTTCTCTATGAACTTGGTGAGTGGTGCTGACCTCCAGGATGCAGGGGTTCACCAGTTCACTCCTGCGAGTCAGCGAGTGACCCACTGTACCTGTGCTCGGTTAATCGGCCCGTCACTTGGCCACGTTTACACGTCAGCCGGGGTCGAGCCTGTACACACTGACTACTGAGTCTCCTCCAGTCGCTGAGTCTGCTCAGGTAGCAGCGTCGGGTCAGGTGTTTGCTGCGGCGTCCAGGTCTGGCCCTGAGTCTGCCCCCTGCTCGTGTCGTCTCCTGTCCCACCGGACTCTCCTCTGGCACCACCGCCTTGGTCACCCCTCCCTGCCTCGTCTTCGAGGCATGGCTTCCCGTCTTCTTGTCTCTGGCCTCCCCCGGTCCCTCCCTCCCCTTCCTCCGGGGCCTGCCCCCACCTGCGTTCCCTGCGTCGAGGGGCGGCAGCGCGCTGCTCCTCACTCCTCCGAGTTTCCTCCGACAGAGGCTCCGCTGCAGACGCTTCACATGGACGTGTGGGGCCCAGCCCGCGTCCGTGGGCAGGGTCACGAGCGTTACTTCCTGTTGGTGGTTGACGACTACTCGCGTTACACCACAGTCTTCCCCTTGCGCAGCAAGGGTGACGTCACTGAGGTGTTGATCGCCTGGATCCGCGCAGCTCGTCTCCAGCTCAGGGAGAGTTTCGGCTCGGACTTTCCTGTTCTGCGTCTGCACTCCGACAGAGGCGGAGAGTTCTCCTCTGACCTTCTGCGGGCCTTCTGTCGTGCACGAGGCATCCGCCAGACCTTCACGCTTCCGGACTCTCCACAGCAAAATGGGATTGCTGAGCGCCGCATTGGCATGATCATGGACGTCGCTCGTACGTCCATGGTCCATGCGGCTGCCCCCCATTTTCTGTGGCCGTTTGCGGTTCGGTACGCGGCGCATCAGATCAACCTTCACCCCCGGGTCTCCATGCCGGAGACCTCCCCTGCTTTACTGTGGACGGGGAAGGTTGGCGATGCGTCTGCGTTCCGTGTCTGGGGATCTCGGGCGTTTGTCCGCGACTTGTCTGCGGACAAGCTGTCCCCTCGTGCTGTTCTTTGCGTCTTCCTTGGCTTCCCTCCTGACGCGCCTGGCTGGCAGTTCTACCACCCCACCTCGCGCCGTGTTCTGTCCTCCCAGGACGTCACCTTTGACGAGTCGGTTCCCTACTACCGTCTCTTCCCCTACCGCACTGCGTCCCTCCCTCCCCCGCCGCTCTTCCTTACGCCAGGTCCCCCTCCGGTAGACCCCCTCCCCCCTCAGGGTCCTGCCCCCTCAGGTGTGTCCCAGAAAGATACACTCGAGCCTGTCGAGGTAGCTGTTGACTCTGGTGCTGCTCGGGGTGCTGAGCCTGGGGGTGCTGGGTCTGGGGGTGCTGCGACTGAGGGTGCTGAGCTTGGGGGTGCTGAGCCTGGGGGTGCTGAGCCTGGTGGTGCTGAGCCTGGTGGTGCTGAGCCTGGGGGTGCTGAGCTTGGGGGTGCTGAGCCTGGGGGTGCTGAGCCTGGGGGTGCTGCGCCTGGGGGTGCTGAGCCTGGGGGTGCTGCGTCTCGGAGTGCGGAGCCTGAGGGTGCTGGGCCTGCTCGTGTGGCGTCTGGTGGTGCTGGAGGTTCTTCTGGTGCTTCGTCCCGGCGGGAGCTACTCTCTCCACAGGAGCTGCGTGAGTGGTTTGCCCGGCGCTGGAGGCGTGCTGCTGGAGCTGGCGGTGCTACGGACGCTGGAGGTTCTGCTGCTGCTGAGGGTGCTGGTGCAGCGGGTCCCGGAGGTGCTCGTACAGGGTGTACTGGAGCTGCTGGGCCTACGGGTGCTCCTGGTGCTGGAGCTGGTGGTGCTACTGTTGCTCCTGGCTTTGGTACTGCTGGTGCTCCTGGCGCTGGAGCTGCTGCGTCTTCTGGTGGTCCGACTGGAGCTGGAGCTACTGGCGATGTTGGCACTGGAGGTGCTACTGGCGCTGGTGCTGCTGAGGGTGCTGGAGTTGGCGCTGCTGGAGCTGGGGGTACTCCTGGT